TTTTTTTTTTTTTTTTTTTTTTTTGGGTATGTTGAGTTGTTGACATAACTACACAGATTTAATAACTGTTTGAATTTTTTATTTAATTCTATTATATCATGAAGGATTTAATATATATATGAATGGTTGATTAAAAAAAGTGCTACATTATAATTAAAAACTTGATACATGCTACAATTGAAAGTGTTACATAAATATATATAAGTGTTGCAACAAAAGAATTAAAGTGATACCGATAAGGATTGAAATGATACGTTTCAATTAAAAGTTATACAAAAGAAGTGTTGCATTAGATAACAAAGTGTTACACAAAAGGTTATCGATAACATTTAGTTAGTGCTACTGTAAAGTGTTACAATTTGCTATTAGGTGTAACAAAAAAAATAAGTGCTACCAAAAGTTGTCAAAAGTATTACCACAGACAAAAGGTAGCACGAGCAACTGCAATGCCGAAATTGTGTTACCTTTGACCTATACTAACATTTTAAAGCTATTAGGTATCACTTTTTTGATGTTACCTAAAGTAGTTTATGTTGTAGTCTCCATGTTAATAATTTGAAAGTATTTAATTCAAAAGTATGGCTTAAGAAGAATGAAGAAAACGAAATAAAAATCAAAGTCGAGGCACGTAATAATTACATTTTTCTTAAGATGAATTTGCCCCGTAAAATACCCACGGTTAACGGCAAACGCCTCCAGGATACAACGACTTTCGACTTGTATATAGCGGTACATCAAATATACAAGCCTTCGGCGAACACTACTATTGTTTGGAACTCTCAAGACTCAATGAAAAAAATTAAAGAACACAATATGCTATATATCTTTGAAAATAATGCAAGATCTCTCTAATTTTGATATTATAAATGATTTCATGTATGTGGGTAATTATAGATGTAGGAAAATACCTCCAAGAGGTTTAAGTGTCAAAAGACACATTTTAGGACGTGCCCGAATGAGAACAGATGCATCTACTGGCCAAAAGATACCTTATGGTCACCAAGGGTTGCGACCCTTTTATTTTCACAGTTAGTTGCGCGCCCGTGCTCATACGGACTCGAAATTGAGTTCCGTTTTTTCCTACTTGTCTCCAACGAGTCCTTCTACAATTCTAGCATACATAATGCATAATTATGGCTCGTTTAGTTTTTCCAAACATTTATTGAAACTATATTTTTTATGAATCCAATAATTTGAGTTATTTAAACTCATTGCTTCAACATACATTTTTCACATATATGACATTCATCATATTTTCATGCATTATGAGTGATATGGTATGATATTTAGCCGTGTTTATCGTGGGAATGTGCACCATTATGTTTTATTTATTAATCTATGATGGAGGTACTTTTTTCGTTAGTTTTGTAGGAAATATGCCCGGAAAAGCATTTAGAATAGAGTCGGGACGAAAAACGATAAAAACCAGGTGCTGAAGAGGACACACGACTCGAGTGGACAGTGACACGAGTCGTGTGAGTGAGAATAAAAAATGTTTCGTTACGGTATTTTCACACCGGTCGTGTTGCTAAGTGACACGGGTCGTGTGATCTCACACGGTTTGTGTGACCGGTTGTGTGAGTCTGGGAGATGGCCAAAAGTTCGAGGAAAGTCACACGACCCGTGTGGCATGTGACACGGGTCGTGTGATGATTCCTACGCAATTTATTCCTTTTTTCGACCCATATTTGCCCTACAGTATATAAAGAACTTGGAGAACACTGTTTTGGAGACCTAGAGAAAGCACGAAACACACGAGGGATTCGAGGAAGTCAAGATTGAAGATCTGGGAACTAACGACGACAATAGTTCTTCTTTCTTTTCTCTCTTTGAACTCATGGATTTGTTAATTTGAGTATTGAGAATAAGCAGCTAAACTCTTTGAGATTCTAGGATTTGTGAGTACTCGGATTATTTTATGAAGATGTTTTATTCAACCATTCCGGTCTATCTTTCGTTTAACAATTTCTTGTGCTTATATGAATTGTGTGAATATAGGGCCCGTATTTGTGTATATTTGTGATTGACTTGAGACCGAGAGGAGATAGTTGATTGGTAGAATTGAGAAATTCATAACATAAGAGACTAAACATACCGAGAGGTTGATTGAATCTTGCGAGGGAACTATAATCTTAGGAGCATATGGGAGTTAGTTGTTCATCTTGAGACCGAGAGGAGATAGATAACAATTAATATCTACGAGTTAACTTGTTTGAGAGAAAGGTGTAAATTACTTCAACGATTATCCCTACGATTGGTAGAATTAAATAAGGTTTGAATGAATAAGAATCTTTGCTAGAATAATCTCGAGGAAAGCATAGCCGAGAATCTATTTTCGCATACTTGATTTATTTTAGAGCAAGCCTTCATTAGTGTTAGAATTTATTTTGCAATCATTCATTAACTAACCATTGAAATTCGAGTTAGTCTAAATAATATTTAATCGTCTATATTGGTACTTAATTATTAACATCAATATCTGTGGAATACGACCTTGCTTGCCGCTTAGTACAACTACACCGTACACTTACGGGTAGTGAAAATATTTTGCGAACAAGTTTTTGGCGCCGTTGCCGAGGATTGTTTGTTAAATTAATTAATATTAGAAGAAGGCTAATATATACTAGTTTAGACATTTTTATTTTATATTTTTTAATATTTTTTCTTTATCTTGGACTCGTTTATTTGTCTTTCTTTATTGCGTGTTTTTAGGTACTTGCATGATCACGAGGTCTAGTGGGAGCTCACCCGCGATATTAGATTCCGAGATTGAAGCTAGTTGCCGAAGGAACAATGCAAATCGGAGACTACAACAACATTTGAGAGGCGCGATGGAGGATCAAAATGACGACAGGTATAGGCTGCTTCAAGCACAACTGGAAGATCTACAATGCCAGCTAGCCGAGCAGCAGGCTCAACAGGAGACTAGAACACCGGTATGAAACATCTTCTAACCTCAAGCGGACCAAGTATAAGGAGGAGGTCACGGGCCTAGAATTGCAGCTAACATTTTTGAGTTGAGCCTGTCCTTGATCCGAATGGTTCAGCATGAGCAATTTGGGGGAGCTGCAATCGAGGACCCGAATGTGCATCTGGCACAATTTCTGGAGATATGCGGTACGGTGAAGTACAATGGTGTCCCGAAGGACGCTATCCGGCTTCGGCTTTTCTCTTTCTTTCTTAAAGATAAAGCCAAGGTTTGGTAAAATTCTCTTGAAGCCGGGATAGTGACATCATGGGAGGAAATGCATCAGAAATTTCTCTTGAAGTACATCCCATCGAGTAAGATGTTGAGACTTCAGACGGAGATCACTCAATTCAAGCAACAAGATGGTGAGCCTTTATACGAAGCTTGGGAGCGCTACACGCAACTCCTTCGGACGTGCCCACAACATGGTTTTTCGGAGGAACACCAAATTTTCTATTTCAACAATGGATTGAGTAGCCCGATGAAGACCATGGTGGACGCCTAAGCTGGAGGTTCCCCTTTGGGAAGGCGATTAAATGACGCGAATCGAATTCTTGAGGAGATGGCGTCGAATAGCCATCAGTTGCAAGTTGAGAGGACTATGCTTAAAAGAGTGGCGGCTACGAATGAGGCGGACTCAGCCGCTTCCATGGCAACTCAAATAGCAACATTGGTAATAAACAACATGCAAGGGTGGTACACTGAGAGATTAAGAGTTGGGGAACCTGTCGAGGTCGTGAATTATATGAATAATCGGAATTTTGGAAATTTTCGAGGACCTCAAGCGGGGAACACTTATTACCAAGGAAACCGGAATCACCCAGTTTATCATATGCAAATCCGAATTATGCTGTACAACCACCTCCTGGAATTTCGGTGGCCAACGGAGTCATCAACGAGCCGAAGAAGCCAGCACTGGAAGATGTGCTCGCTTCATTAGCAGCTACCACTCAAATATTTATGACTTAAA